GAAGAACGATCGAGTCCGAGAGTGGACCATGTAAACAATAATTAAACCAGTGAAAATTTCTCAGGTGCCGCAATCATTTTTGGAATCAATTGTTTTAGGTGTCCTTTAGAAATTAGAGAAAGAGCAGAAAAGGCTCTTTAGCCCTTTCATAGAAAATCTCTCACAGGTAATAATAAATGAAATTAGATATGCAGACCCATTCAGGTTCCTGCTGATGGGTATGAATATCCATGAACGCGACTACGACAATCGGACCGCTTTGCATGTGGCAGCTTCCGAAGGAGATCCTGTCTGTCTCAAATATTTACTGTCCAAATGGAAGGAATCTCCTGGTCGGTTATTTTTAGTTGTTCAGAAAAATGATTGCTTAACAGGTTATTTTCTCAGATCCCCGGGACCGTTTCGGTCGAAGTCCACTGGACGACGCGAAATTTTTCAAGCACCTGGAGTGCGTCGACATCCTCAAGGCGGCCGCTGACAGATGGAGGATCGCTGAAAATTCCTCTACCACCGACATATCAGACACAACCAACTCGTAGTCCTAGAGATAGCTCGGGTTAGGATAGCATAGGACTTTGGAGAGCAGAGCGGAAACTCCACGGCGACCTAATGAGCCATAAGCTACAGCGGAGGAAGGTTGCTAAAATGTGTGAAGAGCATTGAAACTAGGACTTTACATATTTAGCTGACTAGTTGTACTTGTTATGTTTGTAACATTGAATAAAGGTACTGATATGTAATTTTTGTGTTCTCAGATGTGTTGTGGTTATGTAGCTGAACGGCGGAAAAGGTCTATTGACGAGTGGCGATGCCTATCCAAGCGCCAGGGGGATGAAATCCAGTCCTGAGCTTTAAGAAGTTCGGCAGGATGTATGTACTGTCCGGTATCACAGGCTGCAGGTGCAGGGCAGTATATGTTGCCGATACGCTCTGTGATTGGTTCCTCAAACAAGCGAACCAATCACAGACGAGTGGAGGTGTCGGGACTTACTGCTGCTACTTTGCTGCATGCTGCTATGATCCTCAGCTCGTGATCTAGGAAAGCGAGCTTCGAGAATACTACCGTAGCCACCGGATGCTCCCTTCCCCTTCTTCGTCACATCATCGTGGGTTGTGCCTGAGGTCCAGTCGGTATTTTGCACTTGTTCATAGCCGTGGCATGGAAATAGATACAATACAATGAAATATAATAATATTTATCACAGATAAAGCACGATGCGAACAGCATCGACGTTGAACACTCCCTTTTGGCATACGGTATCCGTTGTCGTTCAGAGGATGTCACGTGAAAGGCCTGAAAAGTCATTTCTATTTTATCATGATTTTCGGGGAAAACCTTAGCTGGGGAAGCTTCCGTTCGCTGGTTTTCTTCGAAGATAGCTTTCATGGTATTCAATGGACTATTGACCGTACCTAGATTTAGTGCCAAGACTGCCGTGGCCGCTGCTTACATTTTTATTACACTTTCCAGCAAAATAATGTTTTTGTGATGCTGATTTTGACGTAATGTCGCAATTTTCTCGAACCGTTGCGAGTTCGAAGGTTTGTCGTGGAGGCACGAAACTACTGGGTGTCTCATAAATACTGCACCACTTTTCTTTACTTTGTGACTTCTATTCAAATGTAAAAAAAAGTTAACGTGGATGTATATCTTTAGAAGTTTTACAAAAATTTTAGCAATACATTTACATATTGAAAGGAATGACATTCATTGGATATGCTCCCCTGTTGTTGTGAGTATGGCTCCCAATTGCTTCGAACGCAACTCTACTGTGGCCCGCATGGCATCCTGGGGTGTTCTCTTCGAAACTTTGCAGAGAAAAGGCTCCGGCTCATCCATGTGGATGCAATGTTTAGTGCAGGCTCTGCCCTCCTAACATAGCCCACATAGGATGGTCCAGCACGCTGAAATCAAGGGATAGGAGAGCCATTCGTTCGAGGATGTGAAATCGGAAAGAGTGCCTTAACAGCGCTCCTGAACAATTTTTGCCTCCTATGCAGAAGCTGGGTCCTATTGAAAAGATCATCACCCCTCCTCAAAGTGGCTAGATACCTCAGTAACAGATGGTGCACCGAAATGTCCCTTGGCTCGGTCTAGTATCAAGTTGTATTCCTTTGTAAACAGGCAGTGATGGTGAGCGACCGGTAGTTGAGACCCCCGTCCAGACCATGATAAGGTTCGGTTGCTGCTTGTGGCGAATATTCTGCTGGTTCCGCCCCAAGAAGCTGTTTCATGATCGTGCAAATTTTATTCGCTTTTGTTGTCAAGACCAAGGAAGAATTTTTTGGTTCAACAAGGCCGACGGAAACTACGTGCACCTGAAAGACCTCGGGATAAGACCATTTGAGGAAGCTTACGTCTCATCGTCGGACTGATTCCCGTTTTGATCCTGACTAGGAGCTGCTTCAACACTGGGCTCGGCTGCTGAAGCCGGTCGCGATCTTTTGGGCTTCACGTCGACATCCACCGGTTCGAGCAAGGGTCTCCTCCTCTTAATTCAAACTTTAGGGCAAGCACGAATAAAAGGCAATCAAGTGTTTCACGGTACCTCTCTTGCGATTAGTCGGGCGACTTCTTGTCTGGAGTAGCCCATTTCGAGTAAATTAAATGAGTAAGAGAGCAGTTTAAGATTTTCAGGAACCGAAATTGAAATCAGATTGGCGAATTGGCTGAGGACCTGTAAGTATTGTTGCCGCTACACACATAGGCAAGCAGCATGAAAAATAATAGAAGTAGTATGATCTTCATTTCAGTACTCTTTGAGAAGTTCTTAGGTTTGGGCTTGTTTGTTTTCAGTACTTATGCCCGTCAACTAACAAT